TTCCAAATCATATATATGGTATCAGATTGATTTAATTTCTGTGCACTGAGGACAAGCAAGTCCTAGGTTACAAACTGAACTCTCCAATGCAAGAACAAGATGCATTTCTTCCTTTAGGAGGTGCGATTGTCAGAAGAAAATAAAAAAGTTTCAGTTTTGTTTTTGCATGTGGGTGAGTATTCTGTTTGTAATAATTGTTTGGATACACTATATTTTTAATATGCTAGTTGTGATAATTTCATGCCAAGTAAAAATATCCATAGTCATATTTTATGTTCCTAAAGTAACAGAATGACTTTCAATCTAGAAAAGACAAAAGAAATGCTAATGTAGCATTTTTTTCAATTTCCCCAAAAATTTCCGTTTCCCCCCGGAAAAAAAAACGGAAAAAACCTGGTTTTTTTCCCGAGTTTCAAAATTTCCGGAAATTTTACATCTCTAGTTGTGGGTAGCATGCTTTCCTGGTATGCAAAGTAGGAACACCAAAAACATTATGACTAAAAAGGGTTATAAATGAAAGTTGTAAGACCAATAAACATCTGCTACTGCAGCCAAAAGGAACAATGTGAGGTGAATGTTTCCATTGGGAGACAGTAAACAGGGCTTATTCTTTTTTCAGCCAGTGGATGTGCCTTATATTAAGTGTTCTGAGCATAAAAGATGTGTGCCTGTGTCTGTGTGTGGGGTATTCATTTAGAGATTTTGTATCTTGCCTCCCCTCCAAAAATGTGGCTCTAGGAGGCTTACACATGTATGCGTACCAGCATAAAAGAAAATACAAAATCAAAGTACAACTATACAAGAACTCATTTAAGTCCCTTACTATTTTTAAGATCTTCCATGTTGTTTTTATGTTTCTGTCTGAGCTTATTCCACTATTTTATTCTTTCTCTTAGTATTTTTTGCCTGAGGAGGAATTCTATTAAATACAAAAGCTTGTGGTGCATTTAAACGACAGGACAGTTTAACTAAACATAACATTTCCATAGTTCTCAGTGTCTGTTTTTGTGTGACCTGGATGACCACCAAAGAATTAAGCATTTTGGGCAGACTTTTGTGTGTGTGTAAATTTGTAACATAAATTGTCTTTCCTGAAAGACCTTCTGCAGAGATAGAAAAGCTTATTAGTGACTTTGATCCCTGGAAGTATTTAAATCAATCAGATAATTGACTGTGCGGGTTGATTATCAGGTTTGACCAGAGTAATGTGGTTGTCTTTCTTACTTAAATTATTAATACCAGGAAACATCTGCATAGTAGCTTCCTGCAGTTTACTTTCAGAATTAGTGAAATAACAAGTGGGGACCTGCAACAATGTGGAGGTGGGCTATTGGTTTGTTGCAGCAGTGTTTGGGTCTTTCCCCACCTTTGCCAACATCCTTGTGATTGGAATAGCTTCTTGAACAAAAACAGTATTAAATATATTATTATTTTGTTTGTTAACTCTAGACATTTAATATTAATATCCTTCTAGGAATGGCAACAGTGGGGTACTTTTCTGTGGCTCTTCCATCCATGTAGGTACCCCATGTGTACATTACAGAGAGAAATAGTTTGAGATGAGAAAAATTGTTCAGCAGATTGTAGGATCTGAGTATTTATCTGTTCTCTAGAAAAAAGGATTTGTGTTGATGAGACCTATTTACTGTTTTAGTTTGTAACTTTTGTACTGCACCCTTCTTGCAAGAAGCTGAACATAGTCTACCTAGATAAACTGACCACTGGCCAGATAGTCTATGAGAAAGAGGTTGAGTAGCTTTAGTTCTTCCATCTGCTACAGTCCTGCCCTCTGTTCTTAGCTTATGATATATTTGCTTCAAACTTAGGAATCAGTTCTGTAACTTAATTTGTGTAGAACTGTATGTATCCTAATTTATTCTACAATTTTGCTTCTCGTCTACTTTCCCACTTAATTTGTATTCATCTGCCTATATTGTAAGTTCTCTACAGGAATTTCTTTATATATATATACTCTTCTGAAGTGCTGTGCACATTGGTGGAGTTCCAAATAATAATTTTGTCTAGTCAAGTCAAGTCAGCCTTTATTGGCATATATTAGTAAATCAGAGACATTATAAAAATATACAAGTAGAGAGACACTGTATTACAAATACATTGAATAAAATTGTAGGCTACAACTGTACTTTTTCTTGGTGCAGTGGCATGGCAGATTGAAGAATTTAGCCACCTTCTCAGTTACTTCAACAGAGGAATAATTCAAAAGTTTGTAAACTTTGTGGAAATCTGAAAAACCCATCATGTTGGCTAATATAGAGTTTAGAGTGTTTATTTACATAAAAGTGACAGTGCAACAAAACATGTAAGATCATCTCAATACATCCAGATTTGCAGGTGCAATGTCTAGCCACATATGCTGTCTTATTGAATCTGCCATATAGAATGGCTGATGGCATGGCATTGCATCTGGCTAAAGAGAAAGCTCTGCATAGTTGTGGCACTTGTAGGGAGGATAAATATGGAGCCATCCTACCTGCCATGAGAGGTATCTTGAAGCTGAGAGGAGACTCAGTGAGACTATGTAACTTCTGACGCTCAATATCCAACATTCTCAGTTTAATCAGCTGAAATGCACCCGCTAATGGGAGCATAGTCAGTGAATCTAAAAATATACCAGATTCTGTGTGCAATATAGTAAGATTTGGTTAAATGAGATTGCTAGTTTTCCAAATTCTGGAGAATTCACTTTTGTTTCAAACAAGGGTTGTAGTGTAATTGACTATGTTCTAGTTTCCTTATTGAAACTCTATGTCAAAAACTTTACCTTAGGTGATTTCATTATTAGTGATCATCTACCCCTTATTGTGACTTTTCAAGCTTAGTAAATCCTCTAGTTATTCTGTTCCACAACCTCATGAGCCTGACCCACTGTCTAGGATCTATTGAAATGATCATGCAGAATGAAAAACTCAACAGCTTTTTAACTCCAGCCCTCTTCTGGAGTATAGGTCTTCTCTAATAGATGCATCTAATCCCATAGCAACTATAACAGTTTATAACACTCTAATACTTCATGTATCTGAGTCACTGTGTGTAAAATCTGACATCTTAAACAAAAGAAATAATAACCTTGCAAACCTTGTTTGATAGGGAATGCAGAGAAGTAAAAACCTTGCTATGTAGCTGTGACGACCCCTTATCTGGGGAGGCCTGGTTTCACTTTAAAAGTGTTCTTTTTATTTTGTTATATTGGGGATATCCGGCTGCCACCAGGAAATTTAAGGCTTTCCAAACCTTTATACTATACTGTTTCTATTACTGGGTAGGTAGGTCGAGTTTAAGGCTTTTCAAGGTACTAAGTGTTCCCGAGGAAGGATTCCTTTCAGCTGGTATGTTTAAATAAAAGTAGATTTATTGAAATACTTCATAAATAAAAAGGTATAACAAAGTAACTGGTAATGTGAATATTCTGATAAATTGTTTGGTGTCTCACACAAGCACTGCTCCCTTCCTCTACAGGGATTTTTGGGCCTGGAACAGTTAGGCTTTTGCAAAGGGAAAACCACCTTAGATCATGGTACCATTCTGTCTCATTTAATCAATAAGTACATACTCAAAATAACTCAAAATTATTTGTGGCTTTCCTAGAACTGAAGGGAGCATTTGATTTTAATTGATAGGGAACTTCTTTGGGCTAAATTAAATCAACTAAATATGGACAAAAGACTTCTTATGCTTACCAAGAAGCTATACACTTCCAACACTTGTCAAATTAAATGTTCATTAGTAGGCAAATTAACCTCAAAAATCCCTACTAACTTGGCAGTTGCATTCTAGCTCCCTTTTTATTTTTTCTCAGTGATCTTGCCCCTCACTTGTCAGGAGTTGATTATCATAGCCCCAAACTTGGCTTGATACATGTACCCCTACTTCTGTATGCTGATGATACAGTATTACTGCCCCATTCCAGATCTGGTTTAAAACACTTACTGACCTGTTGCCTTGAGTTCTTTATAACTAATAAGTTACAGCTGAATCATGGGAAATCAAAAATCTTAGTCATTTCTAAAACTTGAAAACCATTTAAATGGATAATTGGTGGAAAAGAAATAGAAAAAGTTAAGCACTTCAGATACCTTGGGCTCTGTTTTCAATACAATGTGTCTTGGTTTGTCGACCGCAAACATGCAGTAAATACTGCTAATATCAGTGCTTCCGCCATAACACAATTTTTCTACAGTAGAGGTAAATAGGGCTATTTTTGGGCAGGAACGCACAGGAACGGAATTCCGGCTGGCTCCTGAGGGGGCCACACCCAGCAGGAACCCATTAGCATAATAGGCCACACCCAACAGCAGAAACTCATTAGGATTGGCTATAGTAGGGGTGTGTGGCCTAACATGCAAAGGAGTCCCTGCTACAAAAAAAGGCCCTGGGTTTTGACAACAAACAAGGTAAACAGAATAAGAAACAAAAGGTGGGTGTGGCTGGATGACCACACTTTTGGCAACACGGGGCTGCGGCCTAATATGCTAATGAGCTGTGGTGTCAGGGTGTGGCTTAATATGCTAATGAGTTTCAGCTTTTGGGTGTGGCCTATTATGCTAATGAGTTCCTGCTGGGCTTTTTCTACAAAAAGAGCCCTGGTGGTAACCAACTCATACCAGCCGCTTTAAAAGTCTTTAAGGCCGAAGTAACTTCACAACTACTGTATGGCATCCTGATATGGATCAGAGCTCTTGACAGTGCCACCGATTGTGTCCAGTCCAAATTCCTGTGCAAAGTTTTGGGTTTGCCAAAGTGTGTTCCATATGCAGTTCTTTGCTTAGAAACAGGTCTGAATCTAGTTGAAACCAGAGCATGGCTTATGATGTTTAAATGTTGGCTATGTCTACATCATAATTCTGACCCAGGGAGCCTCATACATCAAATACTTGCAGAGTCTAACATGTCAAACTGACTAATAATTTGTAGATGTATATTACTTTATGAAAATATAAAACTTTGCTTTAAAGAATTAACACTGTATGCTTTATTTGCAGGCAGCTATAAATGGCGTCATACCACAGGAAAATGGTATTTTACAAAGGTAAGAACATAGTCTTCCTCACAAGAAAAACTACTTTACTATAGGTGAAAGGTTATTTTTGTGGACATTATTCTTATTGAAGATTTAAAGCTAAAGGTTACACTTAAATGATGAAAGAAATACTGGCTATTTACTGTAGCAGGGGTAAGCAACCCCCTAGTGTCTCTGCTGACCAGTAACACCCTAGACCACTTGGTATGATAGCTACCCTACTTCACCCCCAAACCTTAGGTGTTGTTGAGCTGGGGTGGGCGGAGGTCACAGTTTGGAGGGTGAGGGACAGGTGGGAAGACAACAGGATCCTGAGGAATGGTCCCCTCCTGTAGAGTGGCAGTTGTTTAGAATTAGAACTTAGGAGTTCTGATAGACAACATTTGGGTGTAAACTTTCCCTAATGTCCTCAGCACCTGGCTTACAAAACATCATTTAGGACCAGACATTACACAGGTACTATTTTCATCCACAACAATCACATTTCTAAGTCTGTGCATTGAAAGCAAAACTGCTGATGCTGCATACTGACATTTTTGACAGACTTATTTTAGTCCTTTACTTCCATTGCAAAAATGAAGAAAATCTGTATGTAGCATATGTATTTTTTCAGACTAAGTGCACCCTAATCTCTTCTTCATAGAATCATAGAGTTGGAAGGGACCTCCAGGGTCATCTAGTCCAACCCTCTGCACAATGCAGGAAATTCACAATGCCCTCCCCCCATACCCCCAGTGACTCTGGTTCCATGCCCAGAAGATGACAAAAAACCTCCAGGATCTCCTGCCAAAGTGGCCTGGAGAAAAATTGCTTCCTGACCCCAAAGTGGTGATCCGCATTTCCCTGGGCATATAAGAAAGGACTACAAGAACTTCCTGTCCTCCCTTTCATGATCTGCCTAAGTTCACCTAATCAGCATTGCTGTTAGATGACCATCTAGCCTCTGTTTGAAAACATCCAAGGAAGGAGGAGCCCATCACCTCCTGAGGAAGCCTGTTCCACTGAGGAATAGCTCTAACTGTCAGGAAGTTCTTCCTAATGTTCTGATTTAATTTCAACCCGTTGGTTCTGGTCTAACCTTCCAGGGCAACAGAAAACAACTCTATACCATTATGTATATGCCAGTCCTTCAAGTTCTTGAAGATGGTTATCATATCACCCAGGGCCGGCCCAAGGGGGTTCTGCGCTCTAAGCCAGGCTGCCTCGTGGTGCCCCCCTCAGATGCCAACCTCCCGGTGGGACCTGGAGACCTCCCAGCTGGGTCCCAGCAGCAAGGCCGGCCAAGAGAGGGCTCCATTCCCTGCCGCCGCCTCCTGCCTGCCTGCCCGCCCAGGGGACCTTTCTGACCCAGAGCCGCCGCTTGGCCCAAGCCCTTCCCGCGGTCCCCGGCCAGGAAGCGGCCCGACGGTGGCAGGGATTGGCAGCGGGCGCCGCCAATGGTGCTGGGTGGGCCAGGCACGGGCAAGCCTCCCTCTCTCCCTCCCTCTACAGGGACCCGCCAGCTGGGAGCAGGGGAGCTGACCTGGGCCTCCAAAAACCCTCCTCCGACCCTCATGGGCCACTCCTTCCCCCAGCGCAGTCGCACCAGGGTGAAACAGAAAACAACTCTATACCATTATGTATATGCCAGTCCTTCAAGTTCTTGAAGATGGTTATCATATCACCCAGGGCCGGCCCAAGGGGGTTCTGCGCTCTAAGCCAGGCTGCCTCGTGGTGCCCCCCTCAGATGCCAACCTCCCGGTGGGACCTGGAGACCTCCCAGCTGGGTCCCAGCAGCAAGGCCGGCCAAGAGAGGGCTCCATTCCCTGCCGCCGCCTCCTGCCTGCCTGCCCGCCCAGGGGACCTTTCTGACCCAGAGCCGCCGCTTGGCCCAAGCCCTTCCCGCGGTCCCCGGCCAGGAAGCGGCCCGACGGTGGCAGGGATTGGCAGCGGGCGCCGCCAATGGTGCTGGGTGGGCCAGGCACGGGCAAGCCTCCCTCTCTCCCTCCCTCTACAGGGACCCGCCAGCTGGGAGCAGGGGAGCTGACCTGGGCCTCCAAAAACCCTCCTCCGACCCTCATGGGCCACTCCTTCCCCCAGCGCAGTCGCACCAGGGTGAACTAGCCTCTGCGCACATGCCTTTCCTCTCCAGAGTGCCTTTCCTCTCCCCACGCCACCGCTTACCTGCCTCGGAGAAGCGGAAGGTGTGCAGGAAGGCCAGGCACTCACTCAGGCCGGCGGTGAGGGCGAAGCGGTGGAAGAGCTCCAACTCAGCCGGTGCCAGTGAACTCGGTCAGCAGCGCCAGTGAGCCCTGCAAGTGCCCCGCCACCGGCGGCCCCTGTCCACTTCGACTCGCTGCACCCAGGGCGCTTTTCCACATGGGAAGGGGGCGTGCGTGCATGCTCCAGAGGCCTCACGGCCCCTTCTGGGCAGTCGACTGAGCGCTCCCCAGGAGCTGGCACGGGTGCATGGCGGCTGGCGCAGAGCGGCATGTGCACTGCCACTGTGCCACCGCTGCGGTGAAAGGAGCAGCGGGCGGCTTTGGGCAGGGTGGGGACTTTTGGCGGGGGGGCGGCAGGGGAATAGGCGCCCTGCTAGTATCTCCACCCTAGGCGAGATACTAGCAGGCCTAGTGATAGAGCCGGCCCTGATATCACCTGTCAGTTGTCTCCTCTCCAACCTTTCCTCATAGGACTTAGTCTCCAGACCCCTCACCATTTTTGTTGCTCTCCTCTGGACACGTTCCAGCTTCTGTATATCCTTCTTAAATTGTGGTGCCCCAAACTGACCACAATACTCTAGGTGAGGTCTAACCAGAGCAGAGTAAAGCGGTACCATTACTTTGCATAATCTGGATACTATACTTCTGTTGATACAGCCGAAAATCGCATTTGCCTTTTTAACTACCGCATCACACTGCTGACTCATGTTCAGTGTATGATCTACTAAGACCCCTAGATCATTTTTGCACATACTACTACCAAGACAAGGTTTCTCCATCGTATAATTATGCATTTGATTTTTCCTACCTAAATGCAGAACTTTACATTTATCTCCATTGAAATTCATTGTATTTGTTTTCCAGCCTGTTAAGATCATCCTGTAATCCGAATCTGTCTTCTACCATATTTGCTGCCCTCCCATAAGAACATAAGAGACGCCAATGTTGGATCAGGCCAAAGGCCCATCCAGTCCAACACTCTGTGTCACACAGTGGCCAGAAATACCAGTTTCCATCAGGAGGTCCACCAGTGGGGCCAGGACATTAGAAGCCCTCCCACTGTTGACCCCCCCAAGGACCAAGAAGACAGAGCATCACTTGCCCCAGAGCCCCTAGCTATACCTTGTGGCTAATAGCCACTGATGGACCTCTGCTCCATATGCTTATCTAATTCCCTTTTGAAGCTGTCCATGCTTGTAGCACCCACCACTTCCTGTGGCAGTGAATTCCATGTGTTAATCACTCTTTGGGTGAAGAAGTACTTCCTTTTATCCGTTCTAACCTGACCGCTCTGCAGTTTCATGGAGTGCCCACGAGTTCTTGTATTGTGAGAAAGGGAGAAAAGTACCTCTTTCTTTACCTGCTCTTTCCCATGCATAATCTTATAAACCTCGATCATGTCACCCCTCAGTCGTCTTTTCTCCAAGCTAAAGAGCCCTAAGCGCTTTAACCTTTCCTCATAGGGAAAGTGTTCCAACCCTTTTATCATTCGAGTTGCCCTTTTCTGCACTTTTTCCAAAGCTATATCCTTTTTAAGGTGTGGTGACCAGAACTGCACACAGTATTCCAAATGAGGTCGCACCATTGATTTAGGATTATGATATTGGGTGATCTGTTTTCAATACCCTTCCTAATAATCCCCATCATAGCATTGGCCTTTTTTATTGCAGTCACACACTGTCTCGACATTTTCAACTCCAACTCCAAGATCTCTCTCTTGATCAGTCTCTGCCAGTTCAGACCCCATCAATGTGTATTTATATTTAGGATTTTGGCTCCAACACCTTGCACTTGGCCACACTGAACCCCAGTTGCCATAAGTTCAGTTTACAATACGAGGAAAACATTGCTAGGGCACGTTTAAGTCCTATTCTAGTGGTAGAAAGAACCACAGCGTCATCTGCATACAGTAAAATGGGTATAGGTAGAGAATTCAATTTGGGGGCATGCCTGTCTATTGCTGCAAGATGTGTAGGGAGGTCAGATAGGAAAAGATTAAACAAAACTGGAGCTAATACACATCCCTGCTTAATGCCCTTTGAAACAGGTATTTTATGAGTTAAAAGGCCCTTCTTGCCATACCTAACTTGACAAGTATTCGATTGGTGGAGTTAACGTATTATAAAGAGTAGTCAGTGGTCTATAGTCATCCCACCTAATTTATCCTTTAAGATTTGCCTATCAACAGAGTCAAAAGCCTTTTGGAGATCGATAAAGGCAGCATAAAGTTTGCCTCTAGGGAAATGGTTAAAACCATTTGTGACAGTTGGCAGTAGTGCCCTGTGACAACAAAGAACCTGTACCCAGAAAGGAAAATTGGTAACCCTTTATGGTCTGTGCTGAAGCACCTTTGCCAGGAGTGAGTGGCTGTTTGAGTCTTGGCTGAAAGGAATGTGATTTGGTAGGGCACAAGTGGCAGTTTAGCTACTTAAAACATGCTTTCCACATCCAGTATTTTACCCATTGAACCACATAAGGTCTCCTGTTATAGCGTAGACTGACTTTTTCTTAAAACAGCCAGTTAAGTCTGTTTTTAGCTTGGCCGATTAAATTTCTATACACTGATCTAGCAGAATGAATCTGTTCCATATACAGACTGTCCTTTTGTGTGTCTCATGCAAAAAGGATTGCAGTGGAGAGTAGGGAAAAGTCCTGTTTGTCAGGATTTTTGTAATAAGCTTCTGCTCAGCATACACATTACAAAATGGATGAATCAGTATGGTGAGTTTTCACAATCATCTGCTTAGAACTGGAAGACTAATTTCAGGAAGCCATGCTGACCATCTCTTTGACAGAAGAGGCCTTTGC